AGGATGATTGCTAGAGCGAATTGATATCTTGAGCTAAGCAATTCAAAAACATCTATTGTTTTGCAAAAAATGAAAAAGAACTGCTGTTCTCTTTCCTACATTCAATTCTTCAAGGTTATGCGAGCTACTCGATAGAGTAACGATGAAATAAATAATGTTCACGAAAATCGATCGAATTCGATTGAAATTGAACTGAAACATGATCGAGGGATGACTGAAACTTTGAGCTGCTTCTTCTCAACCCTGAGAAACTCATTTGTTCATTTGCGATTCTGCATTTGATCTCACTGAGCAAGATCAGGTATTTTTCCTAATATCTCATATTATCCGGTTCATTAGATGAAATTTCGTCCTTTTCCAAATATCAACAGTTTGTTCTTAATGATGGTTTCCTGTCTGGAATAATCCTTATGTTCTTTGCAATCGTTCGAGATCTTCTGCAATTCGATTTTTTAGTTTGTTCGCTTTTTTCATATCTTCTCCAATTTTGAATATTCTCATTCAATATTCGATAGAATAACTTAATCAGTTATGTGTAATTTTATCGGAAGATATTTCCTTTCGTCGAGATGAATCGAATGATGTTTTCTTTATCTGAGATAGCAATTGCTGTCGGCCAAACGTGCAATATTAGAAGAATGTATAATGATTTGATATATATCCAGTGAATGCAACTGAAGTGCAGATAATCGCGAAACAATATCTCTACCGGTGAGTCAAAACACAACAACTGATCTATCTGAACTCTGTGTTACATTCATAGTGAAAATTTCTTTAGAAACGCTTGTTTTTCTTCTTTTTCTTTTTTTCTGAGTGGCTCTATAGGCTGAATGAACACTTGTAAAAAGTGAAATGCATCAGACGTCGTCGTTGCAACTGCATTGACTTAGTTCACCCTTTGAGTGCGTTAGGAGTGGATAATACATTCGATTTTTCTAATGACTTTATAATCCACTTTTCCAATACGACTGACTAATTCATTATAAATAACTCATCTTGAATAGTGAATTTGTGTGGAAACAGGCAATTCCCTCATCCATATGGCTGAAACGTACTGAAACGATTCCAATCGGGTAGCTCAATTTTGTGGATCATTTTAATTCAACTCAGTTGACCTAGAATTGAACGAAAATGTTTAGACTAAATTTAGGAATTCATCAAGTCCTCACTGACAATGAAAAAGCGAAAATTCTGCCAAGTGCACTCCATCAAACATGGACTCATTTCGATAACTTTATTGACTACGAATAATCTTATGATAAAT